CAAGATGGAAGAGTACATTCATGTACCAGGAAGCGTCGAATTTAAGCTATGGCGTTCCTTCCGTAACGAGAACCGGGAGAGTGAAGGGCCTTTTCGATTTATAGACGGGGAGATGGTTGAGAGATTCTTGGATATGGATGAAGGGAAGCAAGAGCTGGTTTGCGAAGGCCTTGGGCCAAGTATTGAGGATATGCGCAACTTGGTTGAAGAGTTGAGGAGAATGCATTGAGATGGTTCTCATAGATTAATGAGTTATGTTGTTCTGGCTCTCACCGTGGTTGTCTTTACATGGATGTTAGTTGGCTGCTAGATGTTCAGGACGAATGGGTCAAAGATGATTGGCCAGAAGCCATGAAGTCATAGAGATGTTAATATGAGTCCATTGAGTCGTGACTGGTGTAAATGAGTACCCGGAGAGGCTGAGCCGAGGATATATCGAACTTGTTCTCTATTTGAAAGTATTTTTGCATTATAATGACCGACTCTTCATATTTGTAGTCATTGTCAAGTTGAAAGCTGTAGGGGCAAGAAAGGAACCCAGATGCCCGGGATAGACCGGAAACCCCACCCGAAAGTGACCGGACCAATGATGCGGCTTCAATTTCCGAGCTCAACTAGATCTGGTAGCCTGAGGCCACATTTTGCAGCCAAAACTTTCGGCAAAGCATCATCAGCCGATTACCACCAAGGAAAAGACCTCAAACCTTCCCTTCGACGCCCTTACCCTCGCAACCGCCACACCCCACGATCCCTCACGATGGCGACCCTCGCGACCGCTTCTCGTCTCTGCTTGCGCACGGCTGCAAAGCCCGCCGTCCCTGCTGTGCGCGCCCTCAGCACCACCGCCGTTCGAACCGACAGCGCGTCCGCCTCCGGATACTCCAGCCCTTTCAAGTTCCAGGGTGAGAGCAAGGGCGCTCAGATTCCCAACTTTGGAAAATATGTCTCCTCCGGCGGCGAGACAAAGAACAAGCTCTACTCGTACTTCATGGTCGGTGCTCTCGGTGCCGTCAGTGCTGCTGGAGCCAAGAGCACAGTTCAGGGTGGGTTGAAATCCGGTTCTAGGTCCGGTGTCTTGCCATTGGGTTGCAATTGGCGTTGTACCTTGTTGGCATGATGTCCGGGATGGTCAATTGATGGTTACTGACGATGGAATGACAGAGTTCCTGGTCAACATGTCTGCTTCCGCCGACGTTCTGGCCATGGCCAAGGTTGAGGTTGATCTGAGCTCTATCCCCGAGGGCAAGAACGTGAGTTGGGATATGGTCTAGCACCAACGAGGCAGCGTTGCTGAACGGTTCTCCAGGTTATCATCAAGTGGCGAGGCAAGCCCGTCTTCATCCGACACCGAACCCAGGACGAGATCGACCAGGCAAACAAGGTCAACATCTCTGCTCTTCGAGATCCCGAGGAGGACAGCGCCCGAGTCAAGAACCCTGAGTGGCTCATCATGTTGGGTACGTGACTTGGACCACTTGTACAGCATTTGAACCTCTATATTAACGAATCCTTAGGTGTCTGCACCCACTTGGGTTGTGTCCCCATTGGTGAGGCCGGTGACTACGGCGGTTGGTTCTGCCCTTGCCACGGTTCTCATTACGATATCTCCGGCCGAATAAGGAAGGGTCCTGCCCCTCTCAACCTCGAGATTCCCGAGTACGATTTCCCCGAGGATGGCAAGCTGGTCGTCGGTTAAGCGGACCATGTAAGAGTACATCTTTTATAACGGAGAAACGAAGGAAAGGAGAGATAGGAGTGGGAGCGCATTAGACTGGCGGGCGGACCACAACACACAACACTCGACGCATGCCCATACCAAGGCCCCTGGGTGGGCGCAAGTTTGCTGTTTCTTAGACGTGGCCTTTCTGTCCATTTGTATAAAAATAAAACGTCCTAGGAAAAATCTCAGTCAACAGGCTCGAAGAGGGGGGTTGAGGAGAAGACAAGAGCGGGAGAGTGAGTGCAAGATGCATCTCGTGTACGAGGTGTTGTACTAATTGAATTTCATTGCCCTTGTTCTGAGGTGATATGATCATCTGAAGTGTGAGAGTATTACTTATATTCAACACCAGACTTCTATGTTTTGTAACGGGCATCTATTAACTTCATAGTCGCGTACAGATCTGACTTTACTCGAATAGGCTCATCAGCCCTGTCAAATCGAGAATTATAGCAGATGACTAACGTAACTTTATTGGTATATCCTAGCATACTACGGGTACAAGGTTGATAATGGATCAAGAATGGAGTTGCATAGTCAAAACAGAGTTTCCAACATACTTGACAAACTGTAATCACTTTTATCTAGTTGAATCTACATACCAGTGCATTTATATGCACCCTGTACCATAACGAGGCCTGATATCACACAATATCATGAGTATAAAACATTCAGTCATGAACGGACACCCAAGCTTTTGATTCTATACCTGACAATCCGTACTCATTACATTTCATCTTAATGACCATGTCCGTCATCCTCCCTCTGCTCAGGGTCCAACTTGATCAGGGTATCGATACGCATGATGCTGATGCAGGCTTCGACAGCACTCTTGAGTTGTCGGACCTTGCTGAGACTGGGCTCAAGCACACCCATCTTAATCTCGTCAACGACCTTGCCCTTGGCGAGGTCAAGGCCATAGTTCTTATAACCCTTCTTCTTGGCAATGGTCTTCTCATCCTCGCTACCGTCACCCTCAGCGATGCGCTGTGACAGAGCGTGCCTTGATCGAAGCTGGGCAGTGAGCTCTGCGGCGTCCTTGGCAGCGTTAACAGCCAGGGTCTTAGGAATAACAAGAAGAGACTGGGCAAACTCGCCAATGGCGAGTTGTTCTCGGGAGCCGACGGTACCAGCGAACTCCTCGAGGTAGATGTGGAGGGCGGTCTCAACGGCACCACCACCGGGAACGATGCTGCCACTCTCGAGAGTTCGCTTAACAGCGCACAGTGAGTCGTGGACTGATCGCTCCATCTCGTCGAGGGTAAAGTCGTTAGGGCCTCGGAGAATGCAAGAAGCAGATGAGTGAGCCTTGGTTCCCTTGACCAGAATGCACTCATCATCGGAGATGCGCTCCTGGACGACCTCCTCGGCGTAACCTAGATAAGAAGGTTCGAACTTCTCATCACCGTTAAGGTCAGAGAGTGTGCTGAGCATGGTGGCACCGGTTGCTCGGGCAATTCGTCGAAGATCCTCCTTCTTACATCTTCGCACACCCATGGCACCCTTCTCAACAAAAGTCTTAAGCACCAGATCGTCAATGCCCTTTGTTGTGAGAATGACGTTGGCACCAGCCTTGAGGATCATCTCCACTCGGTCGAGGACCATGCCGGACTCACGGGCTCGGATCTGCTCAAGCTGTTGAGGGTCATCAACGGTGATCTGAACACCAAGTTTCATGCGCTCCTTTTGCAAGTTCATGTCCAAAACAGCAATCTTGGCATCCTGGATCCGTGTAGGCATGGCTTGCGAGGCGACAGTGCAATTCAAGGCGTATCCCTTTACCAAGACAGACTCGAGTGTGCTCTTTCCGTGAGCCTTGAGGATGTTGACAGCCTTGACGGGGTACTTTGTCTCGTTTCGGTTGTTTGTAGACTTAACAGCCTGCATGGCATCTACAACCATGTCCGCGAAGAAATCCGAGTCAGCTCCAATGATCTTGCTGGACATGGAGGTCTTGGCAATGCTAAGGAGGGATTCACGGCCGAGGTCGTCAACCTTGATGCTAACATTCTCGTTGAGGTACTTGATAGCCTCTCGCAGGGCAAGTCGGTATCCTGTAATGATAGTGGTAGGGTGTATCCGGTTCTTCATGAGTTCGTTTCCGCGACGTAGCAACTCGGCAGCGATGAGAACGACGGAGGTGGTACCGTCACCGACCTCCTTATCTTGTTGTTGCGCAAGGTCAACGAGAATCTTGCCGGCAGGGTGCTCGACGTCGAGGAGGCTGAGAATGGTGGCACCGTCGTTGGTAACAGTAACATCCTAGTATAAAGTGTGAGATATAGTCGAGCGCGGAGCGAGGAGGGCTAAGTTGCATACACCAATGTCGTCCACCATCATCTTGTCAAGACCGCTGGGACCGAAAGAACTCTTGACAACATTTGCGATTGCCTGTGTAGCGAGAACTGAAGGTCCATTAGCATGTTGTCCGTATTTGAAATCCAATATCAAAGGCTCATGTCTCCCCCCCACTTCCCCCTAACATGTAGCAAAAGGCGGGACAAGAAAGATACAGACAGACATACCATTCTGGTCTCTAATATCAGAACCGGAGATCTTCTGGCCACCCAAGAAAAGGGTGCCGTTTCGGGGCTGCTCGAACATGGAAGCCATAGTTGCAGCTATTGGTAACGTTGACGGTAAAAGGCGGCTTCGTCAACGTGGGGATGGAGTCAGGAAATTCTACCAGCAGGCTACCGTACGCAGACAGAACCTGAGCTGTGAAGCTCCAGTGCCCCTCGACTGGACTTTTTTGTCGGAGGCTGGCGTTATTCCGGCGCCGACTGAAATAGGTGCCAGCTGCCGCGCTGTGTGCTGGTTACAGGGCGTATATCGGATACCCACCCGAAGTCCAGGGCACTTGACAGAAGGTGCACGGACCCCAAAACCCCAAAACTAACCCCTGCCGCGTTATCGGACTTCCCTGCAGCTGAGCGACCGCTGTTTCAATTGGCTGATAGGGCATTGGGCCTGAATTTTGGGCTAGATTTCCAGCGGTGCTGCCGTGAGAGTCGAGAGTCAAAGCCCGGGCGGGAAGGAGGGGCAACCGCACAGCACCAACTGCACCTCGACTGCGGGGCACAAAGTCACTCCGACGTTTACTTCGACTCACACCCCGAAGCCTTTCTTCTCCTTCTCCCCCCTCAACAGATAACGTCGCTTCTCTGCTTCTCGATTCTTTAAAGGCGCGCAAGCCACTGTTCGGTTGCCTTGAATCTACTATCATCCTCTATTACTTTTCTGTCAATTACCTTTCGACTAACACACGAATCTCACCAAAATGGAGGGCGCCGCCGAACAGTCCAAGAGCGCCTTGAAGAAGGCCGAGAAGCAGGCTCGTCTCGCTGCTGAGAAGGCTGCCAAGGCTGCTAAGCAGACCAACCTCCCCGTCGTCGGTGGAAAGAAGGCGGACGAGATCATTGGAATTACAGTGTCCAAGGCCGAGAACTTCCCCCAATGGTACCAGGAGGTCGTCCTCAAGGCCGAGATGGTCGAGTACTACACCGAGATTTCGGGTTTCTTCGTTCTCCGACCTCTTGCCATGCACATCTGGAACGAGATCCGAAAGTGGTTCCAGGCTCACATTGAGGAGATGGGTGTGGACGAGACCAACTTCCCTATGTTCCTGTCTTCCAAGTCGCTCGAGAAGGAGAAGGATCACGTCGAGGGCTTCGCCCCCGAGCTTGCCTGGGTCACCAAGGCGTAAGGATGCCCATACAAATCATTTTGCTTTTATGAACCTTAACTGACAACCCTCCAGTGGTGACAAGGACCTCGAGGTTCCTGTTGCCGTCCGTCCTACCTCCGAAGCCGTCATGTACCCCTACTATGCCAAGTGGATTCGCAGCCACCGAGATCTCCCCTTCCGCCTCAACCAATGGAACTCTGTCGTTCGCTGGGAGGCTAAGCAAACAACTCCTTTCCTCCGAACCCGTGAGTTCCTCTGGCAGGAGGGCCATACGGCTCACTTGACTGAGGAGCTTGCTGGCGCTGAGGTGCTCGAGATTCTTGAGCTTTACGCTGGTGTTTACGAGAAGCTTCTAGCTGTTCCCGTTGTTCGAGGCCGAAAGACCGAGAACGAGAAGTTTGCCGGTGGTTATTACACCACCACTGTCGAGGGCTACATTCCTTCCAACGGCCGTGGTATCCAGGGCGCCACCTCTCACGCCCTTGGTCAGAACTTCAGTAAGATGTTCGACATCACTGTCGAGGACCCTGCCAACAAGGGCTCTCACATTCACGTCTGGCAGAACTCTTGGGGTCTCTCAACCCGTGTCATTGGTGTCATGGTCATGATTCACGGTGACGATAAGGGTCTGGTTCTTCCTCCCCGCGTTGCCAAGACTCAGGTTGTCATCGTCCCTGTCGGCATCACCAAGAAGACTACCCCTGAAGAGCGACAGAAGCACGAGGAGCAGGTTGAGGACATCCGAGCCAACCTGAAGAAGGCTGGTGTTCGTGTCACCTCTGATTGGCGAGAGGGCTACACTCCTGCTTGGAAGTTCAACGACTGGGAGCTCAAGGGTGTCCCTCTGCGTATCGAGTTCGGTCCCAAGGATGCTGCCAAGGGCGTTGTCAGCACTGCGCGACGTGACACCGGTGAGAAGGGAGAAATTGCCATCACCGATGTCGCTACCAAGATCCCCGAGCTTCTCGAGACCATCCAGGCCGACATGTACAGCAAGGCCGAGAAGTCTTTCCGAGAGCACCGACTCACTATCACCAAGTGGGAGGATGTTCTTCCCGCTCTTGACAACAAGAACGTTGTGCTCATCCCCTTCTGCGGCGCCCCCAAGTGTGAGGACCGCATCAAGGAGCTCACCACTCGCGAGGACCAGCCTGATGTCCCCGAGAACCAGAAGCTTGCCACTATGGGTATGAAGAGTCTGTGTGTTCCCTTCGAGCAGCCCGAGGGTATTGTTCCCGGTGAGACCAAGTGTCTCAGCCCTGAGTGCCAGGGTAACGCCGACAAGTGGACCATGTTCGGACGAAGCTATTAAGGAGTTGAATGAAATTTTATAGTCAGGGAGCGGGAAGGCGTTGACCTGGCATGTTTATGATACACCAGTGCGATTGTTTATGACTTGATGTGAATGTGATTATATCATGAAAATGGGATGGGGCTGGTCACGGAATCAAAACAGTTAGAAAAGAAGATAGATCGTAGCGATGATATTTATCAACATCTCGTTGGTCTAAATACTGCTTTCTATCGAGTTACTACTTGCTTTTGTGCTGGCCGAGCCGGGATATATCAGTATTTAACACCAGGCAAACCTCTCGTTAGCAATCCAGTCAACCTCCTGATCAGAACCATTGAACCAGTTTAGACTAGCAATGTTGCTGTTTTCTCGGACGATGAATTTGGCCCCGAGGGATTGGATGCCTTCTGTGACCCTTCGCACCCGATCCTCGGGGTTCCAAACTTCAACCTTTGAGCATTTCCATTCCTTGGCCTCCTTCTGGACGAAACTCGCAATGGCTTGGATGCCTTTGGCAAGTATCTCATCTGAGATACTCTCATCTTCGATAACTAGGCGCAATACACGAACGACATTCTTCTCAGGTTGGTCAAGCATGCCGTAGAAGCTGCAAGTCCAGAGAGCCCAGATCCTTGAGCTGGGGGCGTCAGGTGGAGTGTATATGGCACCGTGGACAGTTGGTGTACGGGAGAAGATGTGTTTGCACATAAAGTTCTCCCGATGAATATGCCATTTGATAGTGGTGATATCAGGGACGACTGCAGCGCTGACTTGAGAGGATTTTGAGATCCTGTCTCGAAGAAGTTGCTCATCTCGATCTGCCAGGTCCGGAATATCGTCGAGAGCAATAGGCTTCAGGGATGAATCAGTGATTGGCTCGGTCTCAGTAACAGGAAACTCGAGATATGTGCTCTTGAAAGGCTCCCATCCCACAGTCTGGTAGAACTTGGGTCCGACATCTGACCAAAGGACGGAGAAATCAGCAGCGCCTTCATTCTTGCGCTGTCTGCTTTTCAGCTCATCCGCAATGAGGGACAGCATCTTTCTGGCATACCCCTTTCCTCGATATTCAGGAAAAGTGAAGACACTAGCCACACCGTGAGCAGTTCCATCTCTTGCTTTTCCATCTTTGGTTCGAACAAAGGCCCTTTTATTGTAGGTCTCGCAAGATGAAAGGAGGGGTCTTTCGCCGGGCTCTTTATCTCCATCGGTAAGGATCCAGCTTGTTACGCCACCATCTCGAGCTAGAGGAGCCTCGAGATTATCGTATTCTCTGGCGATATAGTCCTCCATGGACAAGGCGGCTCCCCAATGGGGTTGAGTGCCCTTCCATATGAGCTCTCGTTCAGAGGAGGTGGGGTTTGTAAGTATAAGAGATGGGGATGTGACAGGAGGGAGGGCTTCAGTTGACGCCATTATGAGGTATTGCTGTGTTTAAATGTAAGAGATACTATTGTATTCGACTTTGTTCTGTAAATTTTTAAACTGGAATAATGTCTCATCTCAAGGCGTCTTATACCTCTTGAACGGGAGATGATATTGAGATCTACGCCCTTCTGGAGGCGGCCCCGCATCGGCGGTGGAGCTGGAGCTGGACATTTACCCTGAACACGCCGGATGAGTCTTATATTCCACGCTGCCAAGTATTCGCGACTCGAGTGATATCATTCGATTTCGTAAAATCATGTAATTTTGTTTCTTGTGAGAAGCTGCATTAGTCTCTTGATCTATGCAAGTCTAGAAATTTTGACTTTTGGCTTTTGAAATAGCATATGCTTAGATGATCGTGGAAGGGGGAGTTTCTGTCCAACAATCAGGTACGTGGTGAGGAATTGAAGTGACAAAATGTAAGTGTTTTTCCCTGATCTAGTTGAACCATTGAGCATCATGACAAATTGTAAGCCATGAGAAGCTTGGTGCAAACGGGCTGTTGACTGTTTACGTTTCTTGGGTTGAGTTAATTGAGAGATCGGCAGTAGTGATTTGAATAGGTTTGGATATGAGGGAAACCAAGATCATAAGCAGAGATAATTATATGATATCAATGCTAACCTGGAAGTTTTAATGAAGGGAGCTCTACCTACCTAGTGGTGGGGTTGACACAGATGACATGACACGCCGAGCAGCCTGGTAGTTAGTGAGGGGCACTCTATGAAAACCTCCAATTTATATCCTACCTACAACTCGAGATACCAAACTTCCATTGGACCACACGAAATGGCCTTGCCGCTTCCTTCAGGGCTCACCCCCTCAGAAGTCGCATTTCTATGTGAAATGGAACTCGTCACTGTCGTTCCTCGCCAACGCCTTGAGAGCATTGATCTTCTATCGGTGAGCGCGTCCCTGCCTGTCGCGTTCATACAAGCTCGACGCTGACCTGACCTGTTACACAGGGAACGACACCGACTCTACGGCCGCCGCACAGAAGTAACTTACCTTTATGGCTTGCGATACTCTTAAAGAAACAACGGCGCGCGAATATTGTTCCTCCCCCTTGGCTTCATCCCGATTCGTTACGCGACATTGTCCACCACGAAACCAAGGTCGATCCTAAAGGATGGGCGCCACCACCACCTCCTCCGGTGCGGGCAGATAGCCAAGGAAATGCGAGACGGCTAGATCCCTTTGTCGATAACGATGTAGTACTGTCGCCGCCGTTTCTTCCATCCTGTACATCAGATGCGCCTTCGGGTGCCCTGCCATACCACTGGTTCGAAGTCGCAGAAATGCTCCTCGCCCACGCCTCCGATGATGTTGCTTCCTCTTCAGAAGTCCGTTCGCTACTTCGGGATCTACAAGAAGTCAGAGCAGCAAAGATGCGATCCAGTACCGCTCAACTTGAGGGTGGGGTCGACGGTGTCATGAGCCTACGAGGAGTTGGAGCCATGGAGCTTGCAGAGAGCAGAGGATTCGTCGTCGGCGTAGTAGAAGGTGTGAGGAAACTCGGTGCAAGCACAGAAGCAACACGGAGAGACGAGGAGGAACAAGGTGGTGGTGATGAATCGGATGAGGCGAGCGACGAGGATATGGGACTATGACAACCTTCCATCTAGACTATGAGCGAAGAATTACGAATTCACGAAAAAGGGGTGAAGCATACATGGCGCAATTAAAAGGAAAACGACTTGTAAGTCGATTACTATTATATACCAATTCTTCCCAAAGTTCCTGTTTAACGTCTAATTCAAAACATAGCCCATTGTTTTAAACTCCATGAAATGCCGAACATCGCTATCAACTCATACCTGCGCTGCCGCCTGAGCAAGGGCCAGCCTATGCTTGGCAAGTCGCGCAGGATGGATTCGAACCCTCCCGCCAGCGGGAGGCTGAAGATGAGGTGCCAGCACCTCCCAACTTGCGCCCTGCAACAAGGCTCCCATAAAGTCCTCGCGCATATCCAGTCCTGCCTCTCTCAGATATCTCTCAGGATCAGCAGCTGCTTCATGCAAAAGTTCCTCAGCCTTGAAGAAACGAGCCCAATCCTTGTGCCATTCACTATGACACTGGTGGCATCCTCTCCCCGGGTTGTGAGGACAGGGATGAACCTCGTAACACTCATATCCTACAGAATGAATCTGCTCGTACCAGTCATAATGGCGACGAGCTCTAAGTCCGGAGCCGTGCATACCTGGGATCTCGCTGGATTTTTTAGTTGGCGTTCAGGGAATGAATGGATGTCTTGACTCACGGATCATAAGATGGCCAGATCAGCGGGCTGATTTCACCTGAGGATGGATCGTCCACAGGAGTGGCCATCATCGCGTATGCGACTGACTCGTTTCTCACAGGACTAGGCTCATCGGTAACAGGGGAACCAGAGGTCCAGGCCACAGGTTGCCGAGGCTCAGAGGCAGAGCGTGTGGTCGTGATTGTGGTTGTCGAAGTTTCAACAACCATGCGCGGTGACAAAGAGCGTGCCTTCTTTATTCTTGCTGAGGGAGCGTCCTCATCACCGTCATAAGGTCGCTTACGCTTTCCCACGATGCCTTCTGAGTGGGCGGGCGGAGTGTCCAATCGTCCAATAGACTGAACAGGGGCTTGGAATGAGCTTCTCAGTGGTCCGATAAGGCTGTCGTCCTCCCCACGACCGATTTGAGAAACATATCCGCTATAGCCAATGGCCGGAACTTTGATATCTGCAGGACGACTTGGTCGTCTAGGGCGGCCATCGAGCCTGGGCGAATCAAATCCAGCAAGGCATGTAGAACGGTTCCTGGCCCCGGACATGTCGCTCACCATTGCCCACGCGCCTGTATCATCGCGTACAATGGTGGAAGCGTCAGCGGCCGGCCCTGAATTGTACTCATCGTCGGCCTCATATCCGCTTGGATACTCTTGGGCGGAAGAGGAACCAGCATCAACCAGAACACCTGAGGACCCAGGAGGATCAGAGGGCCCAGAGGGCCCAGAGGGCCCAGAGCATGGTCCTCCTGGCGCATCATCATCATCGTTCCCATCGTCTCCCTCCGAATCTGATGAACTTTCAGAGCCGGTAAATACCGTGTTGTCATCAGTGTCCTCAGAGGGTTCATAACCACTGGTACCTCCGCTTCCACTTGACTCATCCTCAGATCCATCACTTGGGGGATCGCCAGAACAGCCGTCGCCATCGCTTTCATACTCGTCGCTACTCGGCTGTTCGTGACCTGTAGCGATAAGCACGTCTATCTTTATCGTGTCGGGACTTGGATGGTTTGGAGGTGGAGAAGTTCGAGTAGGTGAATTCGGCGAAGAGGATTCTGTGTCCGAGTTTGAGCTCGAGCCGGTGCTCGAGGATGGAATGGCATTGGTTGGCCCAGCTGCCGAAGGCATTGGGGTTCCAGGCGCCTGAGTTTCCGATGAAGGCGAAGAAGATGATGAGGAGGACCCTGAAGTCGAGCTTGAGCTGGAGTGCTCATCTTGATCAGAAGGAAAGGCTGGTGGAGGGGAAGGGGATGTAGATGGCAGGGATGAAAGCTCCGAGCTGGAGCTGGAGCCTTCGCTGAGATGACGGCCCTGACCAGAAGGGCCCGCTGCAGATGACGAAGAGGTTTGTTCCGACCTCGAGCTTGCAAGCTGGTTCTGTCCCGAAACTTGTGCTTCCCGGTAAGCTGCACCGTTATGGGTGTTGAGCTTGATTATTCCCCTTGTTGGAGCTGCAGGCTCATTCTGGCCAGAGGGGGTTGAACCTGGTGAGCTTGAACTTGAACTAGCGGTTGTGCTAGGGCTTGGGGACGGAGTAGCAATTGCTGCAGCAGGAGTTGCAGCGGAGGAAGATGAACTCGCTGCTGCTGTGTTCGAGCTTGAGGGCTGACCCTGGTTTGAAGGGCCAGTAGCCGAAGTGCGGGCAGCGTAATTGAGTTTTAGCCTGACTCTCTTTTCTCTGTTAGCAATATTAGCAGTGCCGCCGAGCCTTTGAACAACATCCTTGAATGGCAAGGGCTCAGGGTCCGCAACTAGGGAACGTCCTTGGCAATCTCTATCAGATTCAAGGCTCGCCATCAGAGGAGGGGCATTGTTAAGCCTGGAGCGGGCTCGGGTCAGTCGCATAGCCCTTGGTTCAGGAGCAGTAGGATTTTGGGGTCTAGGAGGAGGCCTGGGGTTTTGGGGTCTTGGAGCAGCCTTGGCTTTGCCCTTCCCCTTTCCCTTTGGATTCTTGTTCGGCATTATGATTATTGTTGTGAATAGTTTCGATAATAGATTGGGTGTTCGACAAAGCTCTGCTTTGCTAGTAACGTGATGGGTTGTGATACTGAATTATTGAACATGTTTGGAACTGAGAAGACACAGCGTCTCTTATATATTTTCCTCATCATCGTAATTGAATGCAATGATATGTTCTGGTTGTGAACAATGATCTATTGCTTTATGAAGCTCTTTTCCTAATAATCAAAGGCTATGTATTTCATGAACACTGTAGATATCAAAGACAAAGTAGACGCCTTGTCTCAAGATACCATGGACGCTTGAAGATATTTCACGTTCGTTAATGAACAAATATGTGCCAAACAAAGAAGCCGGGTTTCTTTATTCCCCAGGACTAATAAAGAGGCTCAACCACCTGCATTCAGAGCCTGCAACAGATAAGTCATATCATATTCACTGGAATACTCACATGACTGAACGATCTTCATCAGATGCAAATATCTCATATCTGTTGTAAGTGAAACTACATATGAGTGTTGGAATATGTCTATACCACGTCTTAGCTATAGGTTTTCCGCGTAGCCAGTAGCGAATGAGAGGGGAGAAACCCTTTTTGGATGGTTAACGAACTATTGTTTGCCTTGTTTGAATTATGGAATGTGTGATGATGCCTTTGTGCCCCCTAGCTTATGCCGTGGTTCCACCTCTTGTCTCCGATTCATTAACTATGGTTAATGGCCAGTGCATCAATGGGAGTCAATGAGGCTCTTGACTTGATATATTTAATGTTT